GATTGGATGAAATAAAAGTCGGTGGCGACTCTTGCTTACCGTGACATTTTGCAAACACAAAACGCAAAATGCAAACTAGTATTAAACATTCGGTTCTGCCACCGTATCATAATCTTCATCAGTCTCCGGGATGTTATCTTCTTCATGATTATTCCCCTTATTTGATGGAGTTAAGAGATCTAGAGCTCCCTTGACTGGTCCTCTAGGTCTTCTTCCCAAATTCAGGGCAGCCGCTGACTTCTTTGTCTTTTTCTTCTTGTTCTTGAGAATGAGAGTCTTCAAGTCCTCTTGCCCTTTAGCCAAAGTCAGGAACATTTGTTGGAATTGAGTGTTTTGTGCTTGGAGATCCTTCATGGTTTGTTTCATATTCATCTTACTGATATAAACAGTATGAAGATAAAGAGGCTTGTATGGGAGAAACCTGTCATGATATGATGCATGGTATATGGATGCATGTTTTCAAGGATCTCGCGGGGTAAACACAAGAAGATGTTAGGAGTTAGGCTTTGACTACAACTTTGATTGAAGAACCTCGTATCGATGGTTGTCCTTCCTCGAGCATCAAGCTCACCATGTTAAGTGGGTCATAGCCCTTGACTCAAGTTGTTGTGATTTGATCTTTGACAGTGTTTAGTTAGAGGAAAATAAATCCACCTGCCCCTTGATAGACGTCTGATTCAATGTGACCCTGCATCATAGGCCCTCGAGATCCTTGAAAAGGTTATTGAAAATACTATGGTATGATGTCATGATGTTATGTACAATTATGCAAAGTAAGCAAGTTGTTATGTACAAATAGTCATATACACACAAAGCAGACAAGTCCTTAGGTTTAGGCTTGCATGGAGTTTGTAGGTAAGTACCCTCTTGAAGTTTAGTTGGCTCAACTTGTCCTAGTAATAGTAACCGGGTTCTAGGGGATCTCAATATCACTGATCTTTCTTCATCGGGCATTGTTTCAGCGCAAGCCTCTTTAATGGAGACCAAAATATCCCGAAAGTCTGATCTCAATGAGCGTAGTATCGAGTATCAACCAACTCCGGACTGCACCAAAGCCGGCTACCTCACTACTGCCTAATGGCCAAGTTGTTCAAGTAAAGGTTCTAAAGTCAGTTAGCGCTTCATGACACCACGCAGCAGCCCCGTATTCTCCTTGACTACTCAAGGGCTACTGATACCAACAAATGTGTCACACTAACGTAGCTATTGCTTAGAACATGTCGGTATACCCCACACAATTTCAACAATGTATTGCTACTTACCTATAAGGTATCCCAAATCCGGGTAGAGGATCAAAACAAGCCCAAAAAAGGAACCAAAATGTAAAACAATCAAGTCAAACAATGAAAGCAGGTAAATACGATAGAAAATGTGTCGACCTGAAAACTGGATGTGTCGACACATAAAATAAGAATTTCTGTAATTTCAGAAAAGCTTCAGTATGTGTCGAGCTGAAATATGCATGTGTCGGCCTAAGACTTACAGAAGCTACATGCTTTAAAAATGCATTACATGTGTCGACACATGCAGTAAAAAATCATGCAAAAACTTATTTTTAATGACTTGGATCAATTTCAAAATGCTTTTTATTGATTCCTAAGACCTCTAATACAGAGGAGTGCCACAAGACATACTGATACTATCCAATACTCAGAATTTCAACCTTTTCTAGTTTTTGACATCATTCAAAACATTTGACAACAAAGTTTGTACTTACAAGATATAGGTTACTTCCCGTCATCACTCAATGACACTAATATTTTCTTGATTCCCAAATGCAACAAACCTCACAACATGAAGGAGTTTTGTCTCATATCTTTATGCAATTTGGTTTACAAACTTGTTTCCTAAGACCTTGCCAATAGAATGAAGGTTTTGTTGGATAAGTGTGTAGCAGAGGAATAATCGGCTTTTGTGGAAGGCAGATCGATTCTTGATAACGCTGTGATAGCTATCAAGGACATCCATGCTCTCAAGAGAAAGACTAGAGGTAATAAGGCTCATTTGGCCCTCAAAATTGATATTAGCAAGGCATATGATAAAGTTGATTAGGGCTTTCTGATGGGTTTTGTTGAGAGGTGGGTCCATTGGACTATGGTGTGCGTTACTTCGGTGCACTATATTGTTCTTGTTAATCCGGATCGCGTAGGACCAATTCAACCAGGAAGAGGACTGAGGCAAGGGGGCCCACTGTCCCCGTACCTTTTTAATCTTATTTCAGAAGGTTTGTCTACGCTTATGAAAGACTTAATGGCGTGTGGTGACATCCATGAAATTTATATAGAGGGGTACCTAGTGTGTCCCATCTACAATTTGCTTAAGATTGTTTTTTTATTTTGCAGGGAAATACTTGTGAAATTGGTCAATACTTACGCATATACTTCATGTCAGGAGATTAATTTGTTAAAATCAGAAGCATTCTTTAGTCGTAATATGACTAAACTGGATCAGGAGAATCTGGCGCATATTATGGGAGTTCGTCATGTGTTGGGAACAGAGAAGTATCTCAGACTTCCCTCTATGATTGGTAGAAGTAAGAAGGCTACCTTGTTTTTTTATAAAGGATCGCATTTGGAATAAAATTAACTTTTAGAAAGGGATACCTCTTTCAAAGGCAGGAGAGGAAGTTATGATAAAATCGGTCCTTCAATGAATTCCATCTTATATAATGAGCATTTTTCTCCTTCCAAATACGGTTATTAATGATATAGAGAAAATATTGAATTCTTTTTAGTGGGGAGGAGGATGCAATAATAAAGGAATTCAGTGGATGTTGTGGGAGAGGTTAGCTTGTACTAAGAAGGAAGGTGGGTTAGGACTCAAAGATTTTAAAGCATTTAACATGGATATGATTGCTAAACAAGGCTGACACTTACTTATGAAACCTTGTGCCTTTGATTCCCGAGTCTTCAAAGCAAGGTACTATCCTAGAACTTCTTTCTTTGATGTTACTCTTGGTTACAATTCGAGCTATGTTTGTTGGAGTATTTGGAATTCTATGGAGGTTTTAACCTTAGGTTGCAGGTGGAGCGCATTGGGATAGAAGTCAAATTGAGGTAATGCGTGAACCTTGGTTTCATGGTATTACAGAAGGGTGCATGGGTGGACTCCAGAAGCAAGGTGCGTATGTTGTTACTGTTAAAAATCTTATGATGTCTAATGTGAAACAATGGGATACAAGGGTCATAAGAAATATTTTTGACAATGCAAATTCGAAAAGAATCCTACAGGTTCCTCTGTTAGAAGATGTTAAATAAGATATGTTGATTTGGAGGAAAGAGCAGAATGGTACTTATAGTGAGTTATCTGGTTATAGAATATGGAATAATTCCTACAGAAGGCATGATAATGGTATTGTGGAGGAGGATTGGTGCAGTCTCTGAACATAAAAACTCTGCCTAGAGTTAAACACCTATTGTGAAGAATCTGTAGCGGCTGCCTACTAACTTGTGTTAGACTCCGACAACATTTTGTGGCGTGCCCGTCAGCTTGTCAGCTTTGTGAGCACAATATTGAGGAAGATTGACACCTTTTTCTGGGGTGTAACACGACCAATTAGTGTTGAAGGGAAGCATGTTTGTTCAATCTTATAGATTCACGTATCATTCTTTTCACGACATTAAGTCTCTTATTTTTTATATCTGTAAGAAGGAGGACAGAAGGGTCGCCGGTAGATTCGTTGCTATGATAGATGTTATATGCCCAAGAAGTTACTGATAATAATGTTGAACGTCATCATACCTTGGCTTGGAACCCTCCATATATGGGTTGGTTGAAATGCAATATTGATGCAACTTTTAATAATAATAATAATGGTACTACGAATATAGGGTGGTGTGTGCGTAATCATCTTGAAAATTTTATTATTACAGGTGTAGTTTGGAATCCAGGTTCCTTTCTGTCATTGAAACATAAGCCTTAACCCTTAAAGAGACAAATGTTATGAGTTATATCTATGCACTTGGAGTACATTATTTTTTAAAATAATTCCCAAAGAGTGACCCAAGCTACTAATCCAATCACAAGGGTGATTCAGAATTTAGTCTTCTCATCATGTCTATTTCTAGTTTATTACAAGTTTTTTTCAACTTTGAGGTGAAGTTTGTTAAACGTCAAGCGAATATGATTGCTCAGTCTCTTGCAAGGGAGGCCAGTTCTTGGTCTAGACGTACTTTGTTGAATTTGAATCCTCTTTGTATTGAACATCACTTGATTAATAAAATGCATTGAATTTGTTTTGATAAAAAAAAAAACTTATTGTATAAATAAATGTTTGACATTAAAATGTATTCCCTCCATTCTCTTTGATAAACAAATTTTACTTTTTAAATTTATTGAATAAATAATATATTTAGACTATATATAAACTAAATACATTAATTATTTAATAAATTTTAAAAAGTAAAATTTATTTATAAAAGAGAAAGGAGGAAATATATTTGGGTAAAAGAGAAATGTATCTTTCTAAAATTAATTTAATAGTATGCATATGGAATACCTTTTAAAAATATTTTTACTTTATTTTTTTAAATAATTTAATTGCATACATTTGGAATACTCTTTAAATGTATTTTTCATGAGTTATTTTTTTTATGGGTATCTTATGCGCGCAACTGTCGAGATTAATTCTTCGAGTCGAATAAAATCATAATAGACGGCAAAACTCTCCCTCAAGAGATTTAACACAATTGTGTGCCCCTTATAAGTTACTTAGTTAAAAGAGAAATGTATTTTATTCAATATATGTAATTGTGCAAGGACATGTCACTTGTAATTGTACAACAACATCAGATTGCAAAGTTGCGGGTTCGAGCAAAACTCTTAAAAATCCAACTGTGATGATTTCAAAGTTCAAACATGAAGCCAAATAATCATAGATGCTTGGTTATTGAAAAAAATAAAGTGAGAATCTTACCAACTGAAAATAAAGGATTTACTTTCTTTTATAAATAATTACAGACAAGCTATTCTGTTCTGATAAGCTGAACTTCTGCAAACATTTACAGTCTATCATGAGAAGACAGAGTTCCAACACCCATAAATTCAGCAGCAAATTCTTCATCATTTTTTGCCAACATGTCCTTTAAGCTACATTCTATATTCCTTCCTTTGAGAACCCAATATCTTGGCTTTATCTTCTTTTCTAGTGAATAGCTAAAATACCTAGGGTAGTCCACCACATCTCTTAATGGCCTCTTCATTGTGTTCACCAGAAATTCTACTTTTGGCTGCAGAACCTCATTTATGCTGTACCCAAGTAGAGGAGAAAATTTACGTACCATAAATGCAACTTCCTTCTTTGAAAGTCCTAGCTTCATCAAGTACACTATCCTGCAGAACATCAACAAAAATCAAATCAGTTAGATGGTTATTAACTAGAAGCACACCTGAATCATTCTATTACTGCATGAGAACGAAAAGAGTGGAAATTCAACTTAGATTTTGCTGCAGCATATTTATTTGTTCACATATAATGATCAAAGAAAACAGAGTCTTCCAAGTTGCAATAAAGCATTACAACTTTTATGTGACTCTAGAGTCTAAATCACTTAAAATTATGTTAGAATAGTAGATACTCACTCCCTTAAAATGATTGGGTTAGCTAAGAAATATGATACTAACAATAGAAAAAAAAGAAAATTGTGATGAAATAGAACTATACCGTTGAGGCAAGGTTATGTCAACATCAGACACAAGTACTTCTGGATATTTTTTGATAACCAGAGGAAGGTAAGCTTTAGAAAGACAAATACTACTAAGGAAATCAATCTTTCTCTGGAAGGTGTTAGTAATGCTGGTGGCAAAAATTTCAGGGCAGCGAGCAAGTATTCTCCCAATGTCGTCTTTATCAAAACCCATATTTTCAAAGAACAGAACAACCTGTAGGTAAAAATGAGCAAGACCTTAATGTATAAACGAATAAATGAAACAATGCTGATAAGTATAGTAGAAACCCATATGCTGCTATTTAAAAAGCAATTTTAACAGTAACAACTGAATCCAAACTTTTTTCCCCATAGAGACGGCATCATTAACAAACTTCACTAGCAAAGAGTGGGATAATCGAACTATCAATAAAAAAACCAAGGCAGGATTAGATTTCACATATTGGCAGGACAGGAACCACATATTTGTGTTTTATAGTGTTGTTCATATTATGGCATGATTCAGAGTGAAGGTGATCACCCTGTGTTTTATAAATGCTCCTCCAACAAATTTATCTATTTGGTTGTATAGATTGATGATGTAGTCATTATAGGTAATGATCATGATGGGTTGCAATAGACTTAAACATCTAGTCCTTTACTTTCAGGTTAAAGATCTAGGCCTGTTGTGTTATTTCCTTGATAATGAGATAAAGTAATTAGAGACAGGAGTTGTTATTTCTTATCTTAGAGGAAAAAATATGCTTGATTGAAAGCCGATTAATACTCCTATGAACCCAAATTTCAAACTGCTACCTGATCAAAAGGAGTCTTTTTCAGATCCCGGAAAATATGAGGTTAGTTGGAAAACTGAATTACTTGACCACGACAAGACTAAATATTTCATATGCAATCAGTGTTGTTAGTCACTGCCTACTACACGTGAGTTCATGTGGCTCAAGCATTTGTTCAAGAGTTACACTTTATAAAAGGGCATTGTGAGTCTCATGTGTGACAAGCAAGTTGCCTTACACATTGCCGCTAATTTAGTCTTTCATGAGCAAACTAAGCATTTTGAGACCGATATCATTCTATTCGTGAGAATATTATGTCTGGCAAAATCGCTACTTCTTTTGTTGGTACTAATGATTGAATTGCAAATGTCTTTACAAAGTCTCTTCGAGGACGAAGGATCACTTACGTATGTGTCAAGCTTGATGCATATGATATGTATGCTCCAGCTTGAGAGGAAGGGTTGGACTTGGATATGCGTAAAAAATATTATTATTGAAATTGAAAGAGATATTATCTCCCTTATTTTAAATATTCTATATTTCCTTGGGTATATCTATCTATCTTTTATGTAATTAAGCAAGATTTAATCCTTATTATCATGGGATTTGCTCTGTACATATTTTCATTATGAATACAAAATGCTGAGAGCTAATATCCCTCAAGCAATTTAGCACCAAAACCTTGTTCTCAACTACATCATTAGGAAAAACTGAATGTATCCAAATCTTATCTTAACCTTAATTTTAATCTTATCTTAATCTTACCTTGATAATATAAACTAGTATAACACTTTCAAGACAATTTTTTACAAGCGGAAAACAATAAATGCATTGTTGTCATATACCTTAAAATATCATTTCATTTAAATTCACTTATGTCTAACCACCCTGTTAAATTCCTTGATCTATGCCTAATGCGACACTGTAATATATTGATAAATGTTGTTGTTTGCTCAATAACTAAACACAACGTATTGTAGATCTTAACTAACAAACATTATTTTTCTCTTCATTACTAGTAATTCACAGTTTGCTCTTTTAAACAGCTTGAAGTCTTTAACTATTTCCCAGGATTTGAAGTCTAACATCTAAAGAATGGTTCTCTTCAGCTATATCAATATAAATATATTTGTGATCTTATGTCTAAGGATAACTAGGTAGATGCCATAGACATCTCAACTTCTATGGTTGGTAACATCAAACTGAAAATATTGGAGCTAACTATGTGTCAGACTGTTGCAAACCAAATCACAATGCAGAAAAAGTATAACAACGGAGATGATGGAAAGAGTATATTATTGATGGTTGATGAGGAAAACAGTAATATGCAGAAGGGAAAACACAATCCCAACTACCCTAGAGCCTAGCTCTCCTCGGAGAACGGAAGCTTCTTTACCTAACAGAAATGATTCTCCATCATAATCAATCTTCTCCCCACAAATCCCCGTATAAATGCAATTCCCCTAACAAACTTATTGGTCTCTTTCTCTCTCTGCCACCTCATCATTCTTTCATCCCCTTCTATTCTTTCTTGCATAAACTCTCCACACCTTGGGCCTGTTTTGATAGTCTAAGCCCATTACATCACTAGAGGACCTATCAATACCTCCTCTTTGAATTCCAGGCTTGTCCTCAAGTCTGAGGTTGGGAAACTGACTCGTCATAGTGAATTCCTCCTCCCATGTTGCCTCTTCTACTGGTTTACCCTTCCATTGAATTAACAACTGCTTCTTAGATTTCCTTTCTTCCTTAATTGCACGTGTGGTCCGCACCTCCATAGGTCCTCACATACAGGACGGGTCACCTTCCAAACCTTGGGGCAAGTCCTTCTCCACCTAATAGTTACCTGTTGCCTTCCTAAGTAAAGACACATGAAATACCGGATGAATCCTAGCTGTCTCTGGCAGTTGCAGCTTATATGCTACTGTCCCAATCCTCTCTAGCATATTAAAAGGGCGTTAATAACATGGGGCCAATTTTGGGATAATGCGAAGTTCCACAGACTGCTGGACGTGACAGCCCATTTCTGTAACTGTCTTCTCTGACTATGGTTGGGGCTCAGACCCAGATGGCTACAATTGAACTTCTGAGTCGAGCATTTATCTTGAACCCAATTTATTATAACGAAGGTCAAAAAACAATGAGACAGATTAAGTGCAGATATTTTGGAGTGCAGTCTTTGCTTACTGAGCTGAAAAATCCCTTCCAGGCCCAAATTATTTTCTGTGACAACTCCGCTACAGTCTCTTTGTCACACAGTCTAAAGCCCTTCCTGTGGATCTCAGCATCTTTGTGCTAGAGAAGGTTCTAAGCCAGAACTACATGGCTCTCCATATTCCGGCTAGTGATCAGAATGTTGATGTCCTGACAAAGCCTCTTTGCAAATGGTGGTTGATTTGCTCTTCCAGACAAACTTAAGGTTTTTGACAAGTTCACACATGGTCAAGTGCCTTGAGTTTGAGGGGGCTCACTAGAGTGTAGTCTCATATTGGTCGTTGTGTGTGAAAGCCAATTAGCTCATGTGCCTTTCTGCTGCCATATCAGTCACTTGCTAAATCATTATTAACAAAATTTTGGCCCCAGCAATTAAGTAGTTCAAATCTAATTGAGCTGAAGTAGACTTGTATAAATAGGAGAGGTCACTCAGTAATTCTTTTGAAGTCAACCAATTCAGTTTCAGACATATTGTATTCAAACTCACTAAATTTTGGTCTACTTTATGTTACTTTCCTGCATTTTCTCCTGAGCTGAACTTGTAAAATATACTTGTAAAACATATCTAGCGTATATCATATACAGTTGATTACAGCAAAAGAAAAATACCTGCAGAAAGTCTTCGGGATTCTGTAATAATAGCTGAGGACTTTTAGTGATAACCTGATCCAACTTTTTCCTTTGAACGCCTAGTTCGGCAAACTCATCCACCATCAGCTTCATCTTGCTAGTTGAACAACCCAAGAGTTGGGGTCGTCTTTTGACTGCACGGTCTATCCACGTCTTTGGAACCTATAATGAAGCATTTTAATATTAGTATTGTGCTTGTATAAATGAGTCTTGTGAGGAAAGTAGAATGTTACCTGAGCGGAATATAAAAAGGCAAGGAGTTGTTTATAGTTGTTTTGAATGGTTGTAGATAGAACCCAGGGATATTTTAGCATCAAGTTGGCATAATCTTGACCGACGCCATGAATCTAGGAAAGAAGAAATAAAGAAGTTATGAGTAGTAGGTGAATTCCATATCTATAAAGAAAATAGTTGTACCTGGTTCAAAGCTTTGACTCTAGTGTGAAGGAGTTGAAGATTCCAAAGCAGAATAGGAGGAAAAGCGAGCACTAGGGTATGTGCGGGGATTCCAAAATGTTGTAGAAAATTGAGTATAGGTGAGATGTGAGAATTTAGTGATAACAAAAGTAGACGAGGAAAAGTTTCAATGAAGCAACGGAAAGCGTCATCTTGAGAAGCGAGAATATTAAGACCTCCACGCTTAGCTTGAAGCTTTTGGAAAAAGGAGAAAGTGTGTTGCAGATCTTCATCGAGCATTGAAATAGATAAGTTGCGCATGAAGAGGCGAATATTATTGATAAGGAATTGAGTAGTAGCAGTGGTATTATTATGAGGAAAAAGGAGCAGTTTGATAGATGCAACCTTGTTTACGAGAGATGGAAGCGTGTCAGCAGGAGCAGCGGAGGAGGATATATAGGTAGCAAGATTCATAGAGGAAGAGAGTGTGAAACCGAGACTCTCGAAAAAAGCCAGTTTACCGTTATCACCTTTGAGAGCAGCAATGTGAAGAATCTTATCTGTGTAGTTCAAGTTGAAATCGAAGAGAGCGTTGTTATTAGCATGATCTAACAGCTCCAAATCCCTATTAGCACCATGATCTAACAGCTCCAAATCCCTAACACCTTCCACCAACATGTTGAGATAAGATGGGGAGTTTGATGCGATTGAATCGGATTCCTCCAATGAGAGGCCCATTTGTTGGAGGAAAGACGAAACCGCCATACGGCCTTCCCGCAGTTCCCAGTCAGAGAGTGGGGACTCTCCCAAACCCGAACGACAACGCTGCTGCCAATTATTTGGAGTCGTCCTTTTATCGTCATAAAAGTAATGTATATGGAACTTTCCAGGTTTTCTCAAATTGGGGAACTTGCTTTTAACCGGAAAACGCCGCTCTATCCTGTGTGCAACTGGAACAAAGGAATTCCTCTCTATACCAACCAACATCTTTCTTTCTTCACTTCATCTTCACTTCAATTACAACACTTTTTCAACTATCCCTCACTCACCTCGCTAATTTCTAACTCAATAACACATTCTTACATGGAGATGAAACATGTTGGTGCATGTTTGTAATTTGCAAAACCCATTATATGGATTCAAACACTCACTTCCAAGGCTATCACAATATTAGGTTATTAGCTTATTGTTTATCATGAAATTTACTAAATAAGTGTTGCTTTTTCAAAATCTAACATCTTTGACTATTTGCACACCTAGGATGATAGTATTTACTTTTTCTTTAATTTCTTTTGATGTTGATCTCTTCCAAAGTAAAATTAAATTTAAAAGTAATAACAAAACAATTTATGAAAATGATAGGAAGATAAAGAGTTTCGATTGGAATTTAAAGAAAATGTAAAATGACTTTCAAAAAACATAAACTGACATTTGAAAATAAGTATGGTGTTTCATACGTAGATTTTTCAGAAATTCGTTTCTCAATAACATTTTAGTAATTTGTACAATATTGAACATATATAATCCTAATACTAAAGACTCCTCCTATTTATACTAATTTGACACGAATAATCTTCTCATCAGAAGAGGACACGTTCTCGCATGCCTGTGTTCTACAATTCGCATGCTTTCATGCGTCTCTTTTCAAAAATAACATATAAGCATTAAAATTGAATTACTCAACCTTATTTTAAATATCCTTGTCGAACCCGCTTCGAAAAATACTCCAAAACACTACGCTTCGACCTTGTATTATTTTACCACAACTTCAGTCAAAATGATCATCATTTCCTTCTGTCAAAATCATCTCCACTACTCTTGATTTCTTTCGGAAAAAACCTAATGTTTTTATTCAATCTTGAGCGTCGAATTTTCAGCTAACAAATCACCCCCCCCCCCCTCCCCCCAAATGTCTTTTTATATTAAGACCAGAAAAGGATATTTTTGAAAGCTTTCGACACGTCAGCAATTACTGATGTGGTGTCACGGTCATGATGACCACTTTTCAAAAACCTCTCACCAAGACGTGCGTTGCTGCTAGAATTATTACACCTAAAAAAATAGGAGTATGAAGGTAATTTGTAAAGGCAACATTGAAGGTGTGAGAAACACAAGAAAGGGGTTTGAATTGAGTTTCACCAACAAAATAATTTTGAATTCTTTTCGTTGATGAAAGACCAAGTTAATCTAGAATATAAAAATAAATGAACACGATTATTTTTATCAAGGTTCACTGTTAACGAAGCTACTCCAGCCCATCCCTCAAGGTGATTTCGCCTTCAACAAGGACTTAACCCACTATAACCAAATTGATTACAGATAACCTACAATAAGTCAGATCAACCTTATTGGCACCCCCGATAAGTTAGTCGATCCTTATTGCAAATCCACTCAAGTCGCATCAGGAGTCTTCTTGAGATGAGACCTTCACTCGGTCTCTCAAGGTATCAATCAATAACAGTTGAATACTTTTAGTGTATTACAGATTTGCTTCTTGTAAGTAGATTACACAGACGTTTCAGTATAAAGAAAACACCTAAGTATTTTACAGCAAGATACGAGCAACAAAACCTTGCCTATTTACAAAACTATACACAAAAGATTTTCTCTAAAGAGTTTGCACATTGTTTTGTGTAATGTTGATTCTTATTTTTCTTCAGCTTCCAAGTCTTCCTTTTATATCTTGTAAACGAGATTTGTTGAAATGATAGAAAGGTAATCGGAAATCCAGTTGTTTGTTCTCAACGATCATAATGAGAGTGATCATAGTATAGTACAGAAAAGGATTGTCCTTACACCTCCCTATAGAGTAGAGGTCACAGACACTTTATGTATCTTTTGTACACCATTACATGTTAACCATTTTGAACTTCTTATCATCAGAGGTTTCAGATATTTGAATGTTGAATGTTTAAGCTTGTTGTAGAAGATTCACTCTTAAGTCTTAGTACGTAAGTCTTGGAGCCTTCAGAACTTGTCCTATCAGAACCTTGTCTTCAGAGTCTTCAGCACTTGGTTGTAAGAACTTGCTTGTCTTCAGATCATTAGAACTTGTTCAGCAGAACCTCGTCTTCATAATCTTCAGAACTTGTAACACTCATAATTAAAGCTTTATAATGCCTCAAAAGCATAACCATAGAGTCACGATCAGAACCTCTTGTACTAACGTTCCTAAGACACGTTACATAAGATACATTCAGAATCTTGACTTCAACTGTAACACGTAACCACATGTTTTCTTCAACTAGTGTATGTTCAGAACCTGATAACGTCACACACCTTGATACTAGAGTCAGATCATTATAGCAGCATCTACACATTAGAACAAACCATTAGAGTACACAATTATTCTTAAAGATAACATGTATGTTATCATCAAAATATTAATGCCAGATGTAGAATACTTCTTGTTCTTACAATTCCCCCTTTTTGATGATGACAAAACCATGTATTTTGATAGAACAATTTATACAGGGTAATCACCATAACCGACAAATTCAGAGTTAAGCTCACAGCTCCCTCTGAATCTTTTAATCCCAAAATTTCATTTAAGCTTGTCCAGAGTCTCCCCCTAAGCACAAGACTCACAAAATAAATTTTGAGTTTTCAGAATATAGAAAAAGAAAAGTAACACTTCCCTACAATAACTTATCAGAGTCTGACTAGAACACCTGACCTTCATCTCAGAACTTGGTTTCTGTCATCACTTGATGAATAATCAAAGCTTGATTTTTGAGCCTGGTTGAATAATGACACACATCATTTATCAGCGCTTCTATTTCATGATTCTGATATCACAACCAAAACACTATACTTCTAGAGAAGTTCACTACTTCTTAAGTATCAGTGTTTGACTTGATATTTTCTAGTATATCAATCATTCAGACAATTCACAACTTTTGAATAGGGCGTATGTTGTGGAAGCACATATATCAGAGCACAACTTCTGAGTGACATCTCTATATGAGAGCATGCATCATAATGTTGATTTGTCTTCCTTTCAGGATAGCATAACTTTTGGAGCCTTAAGTCTGAATTCCATACTTTCAGAAGGTTAACAGCCTCTGAACACTATGATATCAAGCAAGATTACCCTACTTTCAGTAAGTTCATAACTTCTGAATTGTGTTTGGTACATCTGTTTGAATATTCATATATTCACAAAGTGTACAACTTCTTCTATATGAAATCATAGTTAATTTCATACATAAGGTTCTCAATATTAGCATCAGGATCTTCATCTTCAACTTGTCTTAGAATACTTATTGAACTTGTTTAAAGTTCCTGGATTGAATTATCAAACACACGGTTAGTAGCAACAACATTTTATATATTTGAGTTTAAGAATTCTTTAAGAATTCTAAACATTTAAACATTATCAAAATCATTTTATTTTCTCCCCCTTTGTCAGAAATAAAAAAGGTGATAAAGAGATAGAAAAAGTAAACTTTGATTAAAGATTTATCAAATCTTAGTGTCTTTTACTTAAAAGTTCTAAGTTCTATTTTAAGACATAGGTTTTTGGGAAATGTTTGGTACATTTTTATGTGAATGATATAGTTGAATCAGCACACATATATCTAATAAAATCCAATCATAATGAAAACAACAAATTGAACAGGGAAAAGAAATAGGTACAACACAGTACTATTAGGACACATAAGACAACTAGTAAAGACAACCCATATAGCTTAGATTTTAAAGACTTCACACCGGGCTTTCTCAAGAACATCCTCAGGTTCATTGCGACGAATGTCTCCAATAATCCTAGCCCTAGTGAAGAGTAGATAGAGGACTCTTGAAAAAGGTATGAAGATCTGGTTGTCATACCCCAAATTTGCCATACCCTTTTATATTACATCTAGGTTTCCTTTTAAGTAAATCGCATTATATAGTTTTCACTTCTATGGGGGTGTTTTAAAAAAGGTTTATTTTGATCCAAAATGGACCATCAATATCTGATGGTCCATTGGGTTTAAAAAAAAAGTTTATTTCAAGATTAATATGTGAGGTTTTATTTTAATCAAGATGCATAAAACAATTTGTTTTGTTGTTTCAATTGAGGCCCAATATTTAAAGAAAACATAAGGCCTATTAAAAATCTCATTTTTTTAGAGGGTGTACAAAAACAACTTTTTTTGTTAAAACCCAATATGGGCCCATTTCGAGGTTGTACTATTTTGAGAATAATTTTTTTTTTGTTTGAAATCTGAAACATTCGAACTAATAGGCCATTTCAGTTTTTATTTTTATTGTTTTGAAAACAGTTGTTTTATTTTTTTTTGTATGACTTAACTAATGCCTTGTCAATTAGAAGCAGAGGAGTTTGAAATTTTGTTAAACAACCCAATCAAACCAGGCAGGCCCAAAACAATGAAGAACGCATGACCCAAACTGTTTGAAAATACTCATCGTTCAGATTAAAATAAGAACGCACGTTGCAATGTTTTAATAACGAGTAATGTTCAAATCTTAACCATAAACATAACATTAACTTTACAAACTTCACAGAAAATCAAAAACAGAAACGTTTATTTACATTCAAGTTGCAAAGGCATAACACATAAACAAAATTATTACAAGACCATAACCAAATTGGAATTGCTATAAATTGAAAATAGAAACAAATTAAGGTGGTACTGAATCTGCAGACATAATTGCCCTTCTTTCCTAAAATCTCTAATTCATAATCAATACCTAAACTAACATTACAGACACATAACATTCTTTCCTAAAATACTAAATCTAAAATCACTATAAAAACCTAAAATGAATTACAGAGAGAAAAAATTACAGTAAGCAAGAGAGAAATTAGCTTTTACGGAGAAGAAGAAGAAGAAGAAGAGGAATTTATGGCTTCAAAATCTGAAACCCTAAAAACCTCTTAAGTCGCCGCTACGCTTCAAACCATCGTCGTTCTCCTTCAAGCCACCGTCTCCATTGTCGCGACCTGCCAAATGAAAAAGGATTAGCGAGGGAGACGCGAT